TGTAATTGCAGCCAGAGCTATGAACACACGTGTCCTGAGGTTCACAGGATCTGAGGATCACATTCCTGCTTTCTTTTCTGGCTGTAAGGGCAAACACTGCTCCCTGACAGAAGAATGTGAGAGCAACTGGCAGGGGAATTTTGCATGAGGAACATTACAAGTTTTCTTCCCTCTACTCCAAAACTCTTCTCTCAGGATTTCTGATTTTCTTTACCCGTTTTTATTAAGTCATAGTAAGAAGTAACATTGGTCCAAATCATTTAAAGAGGTGTTACATTCATTTTATGATGTATCCCTTGCTTATATTTTATTAATTCTCAGTTCAGGATTGTCAGTTTTGAAAGGGATTTCAGTGAAACTGTAGAAGGGTTGTCCTTTCCCTCAAAACTATTATTAAGTTCCTTTTTTAACTGTCAGATACACTGGCCTCTGAAGTAACTCTAGAGACAAAAATAAATAATAATCTGTCATCTGGAAAGGAAATATCTGAAAAGGTCATTGCTTTTCATATAGCCTTTCATCATTACACAGCTCCTTCTAAAAGTGATACCACATACACTTAGCTTTCAGTTACACTGAGTTCCTAAAATTTAAAATGATAACTCAAACAAGCAAAAAGATGACAAATAAGGTATTTAAAGTTACAAGTGTAAACTTTCACATATAAGACCCCAGAACCAGAGGGAAAAAATGGATATTCAGAAATAAATATTAGGAATGAACAAATACATCAACAGAATCCCATCAGCATCAGGGTAACAATTTTGATTTAATATTTTAGCAGCTGGCATTCCTAAAAATAATATGGGAAACTAAAAGACCTGAGTGAGAGTTTACCTAAACTTCCTGGGGACTAAGCCACCTCACTTTACATGTCTACATTATGACAATATACCTATCTGATTTATTAACCAACGGTATACACACTGTCGAATTGAAAGTGTGCAAAGACACATAAGTGCATGTGCATATCTTTGAGAATCTGGTCCATGACTTATAGTTTCCTGAGACTTTTCAATAGTAAAAAGAGCAGGGAGCTGAGAGAAAGTAGAAGCTAACAGGAGGTCTGCACCACATTTTATCTCCATCCCAACCCAGATACAAATATAGGAACATAAGACTCTGAAGGAGCCTCCTGGACTACTGATGACCATTTGCAGATGACCACTTACTCAAGTAGCCTCCCAAATCCTCACACACAACTACACAGCACAATACCAGAAACACCAAGAACAAAAGGCAGCCAACGAAAGAGAAAATTATCTAAAGTCACTGGCAATCTGACCTAGGAAAACATTATTTTCCAGCTCCATATTTGGTGCTCAGCATGACCCAGAGCAGAAGAGCAAGACCAGCTAGGAACACTGGGTTAACCAAGTGCCAACAGGAGCATGAGCACATATCACTCAAAAAAGCCCCATCCACCATGGTGGCCAATGTTCCCATCCTTCAAAGAGAGATGACTCCCTGCCCCTTTCACTACTGAAACCATCAGCATTCATGTGAGGGGGGAAAAAAATATGTCTTGGCTCTTACTGGCAAACTTGAAGCACTGGATTACCAGATCCCTAACATGCCACAAGGCAGCGCTATATCCCATTGTTTGGACTGCAACTAAATCTAAATATCATACACACTGTTGGTTGAGACAGAACTCCCTGTCCTTTCACATCATATATCCCATAAACTTGTCAAATTTCTTGTTAATGTGACTCAAGTCCCAAAACTTCACCCTCTGACAGAAATCTTTCAGTTTTAAACCTAAATTTGCCACCTGTTAATCTATAGTTATTTAATCCAGTGCCAGTGTTGTTCTTTAGCCTAAAGAAATCATCTCTGCCCTAATACTCACACGACAAAAGTACTTGTAAAGTATAATCGCACCCCCCCTTAAATTGTATTTAGTTAAGCCAAGTTCCTTTAATCTTCTTTTATAAGGAAATGCTTTCATTCTCTTATTCATCCCAATGACTACTTTTTGTTCCATTCCAGTTTAAGTCCATGATTTTTTTTAACAGTGGCCTGACTTGTACACAATATTCTAAATGGAACCTAACTAGTGCCTTATGCCCCCTTGTCTCTACTGAATATATCTGGCCTAAAGCTGGGTGCAAACGAGAGTGGAAAATTTCCAAGACTCAAAATGATTCCTGGAGAGGGAAAAGTACAGATGCTCAGTCTGCAACAAGTCTCTCCAATGCTCCTTATGCCTTTCCAAGACTGGGGTGATCCCAGCCTGGAGAAACCATGGGCTGCTCCATTCCCTGTGTTCCCAGGGGCAGAAACTCCTATGCGAGAAGCAAGCAGGAAGCTACATTGCTCCCAGAGCTTGGCTCCAAGAAGCCAAATAGAGGGAGTAATGGGGAAAATCCCCTGTGTGCCTCTCACACCAGAAATTTAGACAGCCTCCCCAAGTTCAGGTCCTGGCCCTGTACAGCTTCCCCTTGCTGCCCACACTGTCCAGCTGGGTAGCGTGGATGATCATTAAAAGCCAGTGGGTTTGGAAACCATGCTTGGAGAAGCTTTTCTTAAACCAGATCCCAGCCCTGCTGGCTTTTAAATCACCACCCCAAACTTTTAGTAAAACATACAGCTTAACTGTCTCCCTTTTAGCCAACTCCCATCCTCTCCAGCATCCCAATTTCTCATTAGACATGGCATCAAAAGCTTTGTTTTTTCTTTATGCCTCAAAAGGTGCTGTGCTGCCCAACCTTCTCCTTAAGACAGAAAAGATCCCGCTGAAGAGCACCTGAGCTTCTAACCCTTTAAGCATCATTCCCAGCCTATAATAATTGTTCATTATCTTTGTCAGCAAATATCTAGACATTTAATTTATTTCTACACATCAAATGATTAATGGACTCTTCCCTGTTTCTGCCAAAATACTCTTTAACCTCAAGTCTGTGTCCTTTATCTTTCATCCTGGTAGAGAGCACACACATATTTTGGTTTGTTCCATTTGACTGGTCTGGCAGTTTTACTTAGGAGTGAATCTCCAGGACTCTTATCTTATTTTTCCTGTGGTTTACATTTCTCTGATCTTTTTTCTTTTGTTCCTTCTTCTAATCTGCTACTTTTGTTTTTGATCTGCCTTGATGCTTCCTCTAGCTGCCTGGGGCTGATATCACCTATACACTCCCATCTCTCTTCCCCTCTTTCAGGACTAACTTCTCTTTTCTTCTTCTTTCCCAGTCCATGACTGAAAGAATGAACTGCTTCTACACTTCATCATCCTCATTCCCCTGTCTTGCTTAGACTCTTTGATGAATCCAATAGTTGCTATCCTCTATCTTTTACATTTTAACAAACAATTTTGTGGGGGGAAAACATTAGGAAAGAAAAAGAAAAAGGAAAAGAAAAAGAGGAAGGAAGGAAGGATGGATGGACAAGCATACACAGCTATCAAACCAATCTTTCCCTCAAACTCCCCTGTTAGTTGCCCTATCAGCTGAAGACTGGCATAGACATAGACCTGCAGCAAAAGAAAGCTTTTAAACTTCTGCTCAAAAAATTTCCTTGCACAGACTCAAACTCTCAGTGCTTCCCATAAAATATAGATTATAAGTATTACCAAACAGACACATACTTTCACGCCAATTCACTATTTATGAGTGAACTTATCCTCTCTCAAAACGCTACCTCTCAAACCATCAGTTACTTCTCACTAGTTGTTGGCTCTTTAGAACATGCTAAAAAAAGTATCACATCCTATGGCAGTCTCAGTTATTAACAACAAATCAGCTGTTTTTAGAAACTATTCTGCAATGCATGTAAGTTTTCATACTTGAAAATATTCCAGAAAATACGTAGAGCCTTTAAATTTTAGCCTCTATTTCCACTGAAAATATACTGAATAAAGCAAGGTGCTTAAAAAGATAATTAAAAAGCACATTAGTACCAGTTAAAAAGACGACAAAGAATGCCTTTTCAACAAAGCAACTTTGGTTATGTTTGTTTTGGGTAGGGTGACCATACATCCTGGATGCAGGGCAGGGAGGCAGAGCAGCAAGAGTTGTGAAATAGGAAGCCCTTACAGGTAGTAAAATTGCCCTGAAATAGATTAGCTTGATTAGCTGAATGACCATTCAAAAGGGGAGATGATTGTTAACACCTGTGAAGTAAAGAACAAAGGGTCATTAACAGGACATTGACTTCCTTAGCTGCCTGAATAGTAATACCAGAGCTTTACCACTGCCCTGCAGTCGCCTGGCCTCTGCTTGCAGCAGCACGATTGACTTGCAAGGGTGGAGGGAATTTCCTGATTTCACATTGTACCTTGTGGTCTATACCATATGGTCACCCTAGTTTTGGGAAGTATTATAATACGAGTCATTCTTCATTGTAACTGGATGCAGAACAAAATTCTACCTGAGAATATGAAGAAGTGAGAAACTGGAGAAGTGAAGGATTGTTCTTTTGCTCTTTGCTCTCAAGGCTTTATCATCTAATTCTCCTTGCATCTCAGTTTTAATTTTAACACAGTGTCTTTCTGAAGTGCACTTTGGACCATACTCTCACTTTTATCTCTGCCACCCTTTTCCCTTGTATCTGTTTCCTTTTCCAAATCACTCATTAATATCAGGCTTCTTTATGTAAAAGAAAACTATTTTTCTATTGAAATTGATCCTCAAGATGCTTCTTCAGTTAAGTCCATGTAAGACAGAGGGACATGCACATTTTGTTAAAAATGGTCTTGAGAGTAAACCATTTCTGGTAAACCAATGCACTGCACATATGTACGGCTACATAGTGTAAAGCAGTGCTGTACAAAGATTCTGGAGCTAGTCCTGAGTTTAGAAGCAATATAGCCACAACAGGACAATATTCTGGCTGGGATAATTAGCAGGGATGAGAAATCTGTAGTGATACTACTTGGATATCCAGTTCAGCTTGTTCAGAGTTAACTCAGGGACTTCTGCTTACGAGTCAGTGATATTTGCTCTCACTCTCCCAATGAAACAAGAGCAAATCTCCCTTCTAAAGTCAAAACCAAACCTTACCTGCATTTCTTGACAAAAGGAAGCAGCTGGTCCAAAGAGAATTTGACATTGTTCATCTGCAGTGTATGTAACTCCTGGCAGTTTGGAGGGAATAATCACAGAATTGAGGCTTTGAGGATTTGTCTGTAGCAAACAGTTACTGGCCTTTGACCTGGCAAAATACAGAGATTTATAATATGCTAAATAATACTATAAAGGTTTACTATACTTTATTATACTATAGAGATAAATGTTTAAAGTAGTGCTGTCCAACTGGTGGCCAAGTCACATATGGCCCACAGGGGTTAAATTGTAGACCCCAGGCTCCTGCTTGGCTGTCACTCCCCATGCTGCTCCAGCAATAACAAAAGCCAGAGGCTCCTGGCTTCCTGCACCTCTGGCTGCTGCTTTCTGCCCCTGCCAGGGGGCAGAGCACTTACAGCAGTGTGGGTGACTAAGAGTGAGGCTGGGGTGCTCAGTTCAGCAAGGGGTGAAGAGATCAGAGGGCAATCACAAGTGGATGGTGTATCAGTGGTGTGTCTGCAGACATACAGTGGAGGGGGCATGGGTGCAGTGGGGGAGGGAGGGAGGTCACAGGCCCACAGTGCAGTGTTGGAGGGAAGGTACAGGCATGCAGTGCAGCAGTGGGAAGGGGTGTCTATGGGGTGTGTGGCTCAGGGGGGCTATGGCTTGCCCCCCACTTGTGTGGCCTGTGGAGCCTGCAGCCCCCAGCTGCTTGGAGATTGGACAGCTCTGATTTAAAGCATTATTGTGTTGTCATTTAGAGAAATAGCTCCCTATAGATTAATGAGGCAAAGTAGTTACCAGGAAAAAAAAACAGTTAATCTTTTCAAGCAGTTATAAGAACTACAGGAAAACCTTAGAAAATGTTTCAGTCTGATTACTATATAATCTAATTGGCTAATACTGGATGGTTCTAATACATACTTTTGGAGCTTATTTCCCCCCACTGCCTCCAGACATTAAGCATATCAATCTTTTTTTGTGTGTGCATCTGATTACTTTTGAGCTAGCACTGAAGTTGTACACAATCTTTTTTAAAGAAAAAGGATATAAAAGAAGAGATGAAAATATCTCATCCTACAATACCCCCAAACCATGCAGGTCAGGGTTCTACACTGGCACATCTACAATGGTCCTTTTTCTTGTTTCTTCACTTTACCAGTACCATACATGCATTACGCTTGTCTATGTGTATGCGAACACACAGAGTAAAGTCCTCCCACTTTTTGGCCTAACAGTCTCTAGTGGTTAGAGAACCTGCCCTCAGAACAAGAGACCCAGGCCCTAGGACACCTGAATGGGCTTGAAACTGAGTTTCTCACTTTTCATCAAAGTGCTCTAACCATCAAATGACTGCCCAGACTACTTTCTAGCCCTTAAAATAAAAAGGATTACATTACATTACATTATGTTCTTTAGTAAGTTACCTGAGAAATCTTTCTAGATCTTCCCTGCTGCACCGGGACCATGAAACATCACCAAGATTCTGGCCTTTAATCCATTCTCCTGACATGATATGGAGGCCATCTGCACAGGATGGATGGTCATTATCATGATTTATTCCCATGCTGAATTTTGCAGGTATTGAAAACAAAACACAATAAAACAAAACAATTTAGAGAATCAGTGTAGCAGAGAGCTTTTCAAAAGTTCTATGAACAAGTCCGTTTTTAAAAAAAAAATCTTTACAGATAACTAGGAGAATAATATATACTTGATAATATATATTTGAATAATATATACACTTTATCTCAATTTTAAAAATATATTTTCTAGACTTCTCACAGTTGTAGGGACTCTGGCTTTAAAACTAGTACTAAGATATTTACTTCTATGCAAATAATATTTGCAATGTGAAAGAGAAGGCATATTTTTATGATTGCTGTTGGTAGCAAGGAAAGCATTAGTAATTTACAAAAGTAGCCAGTGAGTCTGTTCACTTGTTTTAATCCTACAGTCACTTAAGCTTGCTTATTGTTGTCTGCACACGTGCAGTAAGTCAAAGATCGAATTTTTAAAAAAGTATTTTGATCAGGGGCATTAGGTTAACGTCACTTATAATTTTAGAAATTAAGTTCAGAGAATTGGCTTTTTACTACATTTTATTTGAAAAAAGAGCAATGGAATAACTTAAGAAATTTGCATTATGAAGACACAGCATCTTCAACACAGTGAATGCTGCCACAGGGCACTACAATTCAGCAGCCAGAAAATTCTGCTAGTTCTGACTACCATTTTGGATTTACCTGTTAAAGATTCTGCGACTTAGAAAACTTACCTTATTGTAGACAATACTCGGGGGGGGGGGGGAGGGAAAGCCAAAAGTTCTTTTTTTAAAGGGTTCGAAAGTAGCTAAGCGGTAGGAGGGTGGGAATCGGGCCCAATTCGATTCGGATTCAGATTCAGCCCAAATCAGGGACAGTGATTCAATTTGTTGATTCAGATCATTGTCCCTAATTCAATTCAGCCAAATCTGAACCTGAAGATTCGATGCTGATTCGGATAATCAGCAATTCAGCCATAGACACAGCTTTAAATATTTTTCTACATACCTCAAGGTACCAGCGTAGCTTATGAACGCTGCAATGCTGGGGCGGATGGAGCATCCCACAGGAGTGTGTGGGGGCTGCATACTTGGCGGTGAACCTGGAAGTGGACTAGAAGTACTTCCAGTCCACTTCTGGGTCCACCAGGCAGGGTGCAGGGGGCCTCCCTGTACTCCCCCCACCTTGGCAATCAGTGGAGGAGGAGACCCTGGGTGCCCCCCCGACCTAGGAGGCATCAGTTGCTGAGCTGGGGAGTGCAGGGGGGCCCCCAGCATGCTCCCCAGCAGACCCAGAAGTGGACCGGAGGTAGTTCCAGTCCACTTCTGGGTTTGCCACAAAGCACACGGGGGGCCCCTCTGCACTCCTGTGGGATGCCCCATCTGCCCCAGCATCACAGCGTTCATGAGCCACCTGCTACCTAGAGGTATGTAGAAAAAATATTTAAAGCTGTGTCTATATCCAAATCACCAAATCTTTCCGAATCTCTCTGAATTGATTTGGAGGGTTCTCATTCAATTCAGAGAGATTAAAAGGTCTCCTGATTCTATTCAGATTTGGAGATTCAGCCTCCGAATTGGGCTGAATCTCCACCAAATTGAATCAGGGACTAAAGCTTTGCACAACCCTATTACGCAGATACACATTTTGCTGGCATGTGAGAAATAAATGAAATACTTTCAGCTGCTTTTGAAGACTTATAAGTGATTCTGAGTATATTTTCCAGAGCACTAT